GGTGCCGTGCCGTGCTGTGCCGTGCCCCGCCGTGCCATGCCCCGCCTTGCCGCGCGGCTACGGAGCGAGACATTACGATTCGATATTGGCCGGGGCGGCTCGGCCGGCGCCTTATCGCTCTCCGTGTTCCCACCCGTGCTAAGCTGTGCTGCAGCGCTGTTTGTTTCGTTTTGTTTCGTTTCGTTTTGTTTCGTTTCGTTTTGTTTCGTTTTGTTTCGTTTTGTTTCGTTTCATATTATTTTATTATTGTTTGTTGTTTGTTGACTGTTTGTTTATTTGTTTGGTCATTGATTCATTCATGTCTTTTCAAAGTGTGGCGGATGGCGCGCGGCTACCTCGCGCAGTGCGGTGCTGCGGTGCTGCGTTGTGTTGGCCGGGAGTCGCGGAGGCGGGTAGATTAGATTGTTTATTTGTTTGTTGATTGTTTGTTCATTTGTTTGTTGATTGTTTGTTCATTTGTTTGTTGATTGTTTGTTCATTTGTTTGTTGATTGTTTGTTCATTTGTTTGTTGATTGTTTTTTCATTTGTTTGTTGATTGTTTGTTCATTTGTTTGTTGATTGTTTGTTCATTTGTTTGTTGATTGTTTGTTCATTTGTTTGTTGATTGTTTGTTCATTTGTTTGTTGATTGTTTGTTCATTTGTTTGTTGATTGTTTGTTCATTTGTTTGTTGATTGTTTGTTCATTTGTTTGTTTATTTGTTTGTTGATTGTTTGTTTATTTGTTTGTTGATTGTTTTATTTATTTGTTGATTGTTTTATTTGTTTGTTGATTGTTTTATTTGTTTGTTGATTGTTTCTTTGATCATGGTTCTGTTTTTGTTTATTCATTGTTTTTTGTGTCTTTACATTGTTACGTAGACCCTAAACACGAACATAAACAACAACAGAGACCACAGAACATCGACAAGAACAAGAACAACAACACAACATCAACAACACGCAACAAAGCGATCCGCAGCGTACATGGGATGGCAGGCCTAATCCTCCATCAGCACCCGCACGAGAACAAAAGAGGATCAGGAAAACAATCACAGCTGCCCGTGATTGTCAGACGGTGTCGCAGGCAATCAAGGAGGCGGTGCGGCGGATGGCCGGACGCTGGCCAAGCTTGTCCGGCGCGGTGGCGTAACCCGCAGCCACGCGCAGCCACGCGCAGCACCCGGAGCCTCCAGCTTTTCACATTGTTCGCGTCCGCGGGTCATGCTTTGCTAGGGCTGCCAGGGCCACGTTAAGGGGGAAAAACGGGGGACCGAAGGACGAACGCGGGCTGTAATAACCGTGGACGCACAATGCGGGCAGGGGCACGAACACGAACCACACAGGCTCAGGAGTCTCTCTCGCACCTATTCAGGAGGCCACGCGAGAGCGAGAAAGAGAGACCCTCGCGATGCTGAATCAGTCTGCAGGTCCAGCTGACACCCCACTCAGGCCCGGTCGCGGCGTGGCAGCGTGGCTCTGGCCTGACTGCGTGAAGCGCTTGGAGTGCGCCATGTATCATGGATCCACTTGCACCGCAGGCACCTGGCCGTCCACCTGTCCGAAGTGTCCGCCTCTTGACCTCCACCCCACTCGCCCCACCCCACCCCTGTCCGCACTTCAACCCGTGTCGCCCCAAACTGGCGGTGTCGGGTGTCGACGCCGTGTTAAGCACCCTGGCAGGGGTCGTCTAGTGGGCGGGGAAGCCAGGCCCGCAAGTCCAGAGCGTTCAAAACTTGAAAGTGATTTTCTGCCGAGCTGAGTTCCCTTCGCCCCTTCAGCCGGCCCTTGTTTGGTGCAGCTGGCTGGCCGTGGCACAGCTCGGCTTACAGTGGGTCGTGGCCCTGCTACCCCGCACCACGCGGCCATGGATTTTATGTCAGTGCTGTTGGGCCCCGGGCTGCCCCGGGCTGCCCCGGGGCGGTGGGGTGGTAGTGGTGGCGGCGGTGGAGGCAGTGCGACGCGGAAGCGTCCCTAGGGCAGCGAAATCATGTGGACATACTCTCAGACGCGCTGACCGTGAAAATGAAACGACCGAGGCAGTTGAGTGCTTCTGCAAGCCATCTGGGCACGACGCGCCACGCGCCGCGCGCCACACGCACGCCAGGCCGGGCCGCGCGTGAGTGGAGGGCACAGCACCCTGCGGTTCACACCACCGGAAAAAACAAAGCTTCGTGTTGGCGGAAGGCCGCAGTTGCTTGGCCGCTGGAGGAAAACTGGCTGGGCAGGGCTAAGCCACATCGATCGCTCGAGGAAGACTGTCTTCGAAAGGGATAAGCGACACTTATTGATCGCTGGAGGAAAACTTGCTTTGAAGGGATAAGCGACACTTATTGATCGCTGGAGGACAACTTGCTTCGACGGGATGAGCGACACTCATTGATCGCTGGAGGAAAACTTGCTTTGGAGGGATAAGCGACACTTATTGATCGCTGGAGGACAACTTTGCTTCGACGGGATGAGCGACACTCATTGATCGCTGGAGGAAAACTTGCTTTGGAGGGATAAGCGACACTTATTGATCGCTGGAGGACAACTTTGCTTCGACGGGATGAGCGACACTCATTGATCGCTGGAGGAAAACTTGCTTTGGAGGGATAAGCGACACTTATTGATCGCTGGAGGACAACTTTGCTTCGACGGGATGAGCGACACTCATTGATCGCTGGAGGAAAACTTGCTTTGGAGGGATAAGCGACACTTATTGATCGCTGGAGGACAACTTTGCTTCGACGGGATGAGCGACACTCATTGATCGCTGGAGGAAAACTTGCTTTGGAGGGATAAGCGACACTTATTGATCGCTGGAGGAAAACTTGCTTCGACGGGATGAGCGACACTCATTGATCGCTGGAGGAAAACTTGCTTTGGAGGGATAAGCGACACTTATTGATCGCTGGAGGACAACTTGCCGCTGGAGGGCTGCAAGGAAACTTGATCGTTGAGGAAAACTTGCCGCGGGGGCGCTTGCTGCGAAGCAGTTATGTTATTCGGCCGGGCGCTTGGAGTGGAGCGGAGATTCATTGAACTCATGTCGGATTACCGCGGAGAAATCAGGGCTGCCTTTCAAAGTGTCAACTGTCAACGCGTGAGGCGGAAACTTTGTGGCTGCTCTCGCATAATTTCCATCTTGAGCCCCGTTTTCCCGCTCAGGCCCTCGACAGCCGCCACGGCCACCCCACCAGCAGCACGGCGCTATCTCGCTGCCGCAGCCCCGATCGCTGGCGCCCCGCCCCGCCCGGCCCCGCCCCGGCCCGCCCCGCCCCGCCCCGCCCCGCCCCGCCCCGCCCCGCCCCGCCCCGCCCCGCCCCGCCCCGCCCCGCCCCGCCCCGCCCCGCCCCGCCCCGCCCCGCCCCGCCCCGCCTCGTGGCGCGTGCCGGTGCGTGTTGTATCGGCGTTGTTCGCCCGGCCACGGCCGCCAAGAAGCACGTCCTGCTGCGAAGCGCTGCTGGACACGAAGCTGGCGGGGGCGTTGTTGCGTGCCAGGGTAACGGGGAGCGGAGAGAAGAGAGAGAAGGCGTGGAGCGAAGCCCTCTTTCAGACCAGAGGCGGATGCTGGATGCTACTTCGGACTGCGCGAGGACCCGAGAAAGAGGAACTATAAAATGCACCGAGAGCGGCACAACTTTGTCCTTTCCCCCTTGCGCCACGTCAATCCTTATCGAGTTAAACCAGCTCTAGAGGCCTCGTCACAACATTTTTCCCTGATGTCCCTCTCTTGCTTATGGATTTTTTCCCTTAACGTTGAGTCAGTCCGAGTCCTGGCGTGGCAGCCGCGCGCTGAGGTTCCTTCGCCCACCGATCACGTAGCAACCCGCTTCCTCTGCACTCTCTCTCTCCCTCCTTCTCCTCTCCCCCCCCCCCCCTCTCTCCCCCCCCCCTCTCTCTCTCCCTCTCCTCTCCCTCTCTCTCTCCCCCCTCTCTCTCCTCCTCTCTCTCTCTCTCTCTCTCTCTCTCCTCTCCTCTCTCCCCTCTCTCTCTCCTCTACCCTCCCCCTCCCTCTCTCTTCCCCCTCCCTCTCCTCTCTCTCTCTCTCTCTCTCTCTCTCTCTCTCTCTCTCTCTCTCTCTGTCTCTCTCGTTCACAGAACTATCCCCGCCACGTGCAACAGGAGGGCGGACTGGCCGACGTGCTGAAGGTGGCGATGCAGTGGTGCATGCTTGGCCGGGGCGGCGGTCGGTGCGGCCGGGGGGTTGAGGTAGGTGCGGCGGGAAGTCGGAGGGGAAGGAGGGGAGGGCACTTCCGTCTCGCTCCACGTTGGGATTATCCTTCCGCTCCGTGATGTTCGCCGCACTATATTCTCCCCCACCCCTTTCCCTTGCCGCCCGGGCCTCGAGCAGCCTTGCGGAGACGTGCCGCGTCTACGCCCACGCCGTTTCGTGCCGTGGCGTGCCGTGGCGTGGCGTGCCGTGGCGTGGCGTGGCGTGGCGTGCCGTGGCGTGGCGTGGCGTGGCGTGCCGTGGCGTGCCGTGGCGTGGCGTGGCGTGGCGTGCCGTGGCGTGGCGTGGCGTGGCGTGGCGTGGCGTGCCGTGCCGTGGCGTGCCGTGGCGTGGCGTGCCGTGCCGTGGCGTGCCGTGGCGTGGCGTGCCGTGGCGTGCCGTGGCGTGGCGTGCCGTGGCGTGCCGTGCCGTGCCGTGGCGTGCCGTGGCGTGCCGTGGCGTGCCGTGGCGTGCCGTGCCGCACCCCACACAAACACAATATATGGCTCCACCGGCGGCCCTGCGGTGCGACGGCAACACGACGAGAATGCGTCATAGAGGACAAGTGCCATGTTTTTGTTGGGCGGAAAATAAATCTCCGAGAGAAGACGGCCCACAATCCTGTCCGATTCTTGGTCCATCCCTCACCGTGCGTCATGTTACGGCACGTATATGATTTTTCGTCCCTCAGCTTTCTTGAGGTGACTGGGGTTTTCTAGCGTAGACTTTGAGTTTTGTTCAATACGGTGGTCCTTGTTCGCAGGGGCAACCTTGCCTACAATTCATACACACACGTACACACACACACACACACATCCACTGACCTGGTACAGGATGAACCAGCGCTGCTGCCACTTGCCCGAGTCCGCGGCGCGCTTGTGCAGATAGCCGGACAGGGAGTGGTCCACCTGCGCGCGCTCGGACAGCATGATGAGCTGGGCGTCGTTGACGCGCACGTTGCGCTGCATCTTGGGGCTCAGCATGCTGGTGGCGGTCCCTGTGGCGGTGGTGGTTGCGGGTGGCTAGTCGATGGCGGCGCTACTGTCGGCGGCCGGGCCCAGAGCCGGGCCCCGTCGGGGAGGCTGGCCTGGCTGGCGCTGGCGGCCTGGGAGTGCTCCTGGGGCGGGCGGGTGCCGCGTGATCTGTCGCGCCGCGCGCGACCACACGCACACGCAGTGCAGCCACGACGGGTTCCTGCGGCACACAAAGCACGCCGTGCTGGACTACCCGCCTGCTCCATTCGCCTTCGGCTTCGGCACGCTGTACACACTGCAAACCTAACTGTCTGCTAAGTACACACTTACAAACGCATGCTTAGCCAAGTACACACAAATGCATGCCTGCAAGTACACACTTACAAACGCATGCTTGACGCCGTATAACTCCATGCGTCAAGCATGCGTTTGTAAGTGTGTACTTGCAGGCATGCATTTGGAAGTGTGTACTTGCAAGCATGCATTTGTGATTGTGCACTTTAGTAGACAGTTAGGTTTGTAGTGCAGTGGGAAAGAAGGCCGGTGGAGGCGGCCAATACTCTAGACGCGTTTTGAGCTCCAGAGTCGCTAAATGGGACTCGAACCGAGCGTGTGACCCCACCAATGGATTGCTCTCCGAACGAGGCATTCGTTGGTGGGGTCACACGTTCGGTTCGAGTCTAATTTAGCGACTCTGGAGGTCAAAACGCGTCTAGAATTTTGGCCACCTCCACCGGTCTTCTGGCCCACCAGGCGCCCCAGCTGACAACCTATTACAAGATTGTGGAAGAGGGGAAAGTCGACCCATTCCGCAGCGGGCAGCGGGCTTGATCAGAGTCAACCGCGTCAACGCGCGATGCCAAGCCATCCCCACTGGCGCATCACCATGCGCAGTACCCGCAAAAGCGCCTCTCTGTCTCTCGAAGGCCCGAAGGCCACCGCGTGCCCTCTCGGCGGCGCCGTGTTTCATTCATCGGGTTGTCACTGCCATCAAACGGGCAGCTCGGTGGACAAAGCCACGGTGCGGCCAAGTGGCTGACATTGAGCGCCACTCACGGCGAGGGCGAGGCGGAGCGGGGCGAGAACGACCTCTGTGCTGTGCTCGGCCAGCTCGGCCAGCGCAGCCGCGATGCCCCGCTATCCAGCCATCGCCCCCCGGCCGGCCTCGCGGGCCCATTCATTATTCCACGCCAGGGAAAAAAACGACCAGTAAAAAGCAAATTTATTTATCCTATTCGACGCCGTTGAACCTCTCATATTGCTTATCTCTCGTTACTCTCGACCGTGTATTTCACAGCTGTTTTTCGCGCCCTTTTTTGGGGGACGTCTCAGTGTTATTAGCTCTGCTCCCTGCGCCGCGGCGCTTCGCAGACGCATTCCTCGCGAGGAGGGGCCGTCCGTGCCGCTCCACGCAATCACGGAGGAACCGGGGCGTGCGCCGCGTTAAAAAAGAAGGGCACGAAGAGAGGACGCTGCCTGCTGTTCGTTTTTGTCGGCGCAAGTCACTAATGTCCCAGCAGGGCCATGTCGGGGGCTTCACTGCGACCGAGAGTCACCGAGAGGCCGAGGGGAGACAATCTGCTGGAGGCAAAGTTGGCGGCGCGGCCGGGCTCTGGGCCGGGCCAGCCAGCAGAGCAAGGCGAGGAGGAAGTTGAAGTGCGGGCCGACGGAGGTGGCCGCATTAGCGCGAAAGAGATGAGAGCCGAGAGAGAGAGAGAGAGAGAGAGAGAGAGAGAGAGAGAGAGAGAGAGAGAGAGAGAGAGAGAACAGAGAGAGAGTGAGTGAGTGAGACAGAGAGAGAGAGAGAGAGAGAGAGAGAGAGAGAGAGAGAGAGAGAGAGAGAGAGAGAGATGGGAGACGCGTTGCGTGCAGGCGGCCCGCGGCGGGAAGCACTGACCGACCGTCCCCGCCACCAAGCCCGCGTGCTTCGGCTTGCTTGGTCCGCTTAGTCAGTAGTTACTCCTCGTCAAGCAAAACCACGCGCTCGTTCCGTTCGGCAAGTTTGGCCGTGATTCGCAAACTCCCCCAAGAGGGCCGCCGCGGGGGGCTCTGGGGCCCTGCGGGGGGCTCGGTCTTGGTGGAGGGCGCGTCGGGGAAAAAGGGGGAGGGGCTACCCTTTGACGTCACCGCGCGCCAAAACATGCTGCTGGTGCCGACCCCGGCCGCTGTCATCCCGTACGCCCGGAGCAGCCCCCCCCCCCTTTCCCCCACTGCCCACCTCGAGCGCCTTTCTATCTCCCGCGCTGTTTTATTCTGCGAGCGCCACTTTGGCCATTTTATTTATACGGCGCCGCGAGCGGCATCGCGCTCTATTGTTAACCGGACACCCGTCATTACGCTCCGCCCCGCCCCGCCCCCACCCGCCAGAGCTGACAGGCCTTTTAGCCGCGCTGGCGTGCAGGCCTCAATTACCCAGATTCATCGCGGCGGACCGAGGGCGCCCTTGCTCCACACGTTGCGCCCTGACTGCACCCACGCTGGAAACGGACTGCACCCTCTGTGGAAAAAGGCTGAACCCTCACTGGAAACTGACTGCACCCACTGGAAACGGACTGCACCCACACTGGAAACGGGCAGTACCCACTCCGTAAAGGGACTGAATCCACACTGTGTCTAGACCACACTGGGAACGGACTGCACCCACACTGCAAACGGACAGTACCCACTCCGTAAAGGGACTGAATCCGCACTGTGTCTAGACCACACTGGGAACGGACTGCACCCTTGCACCCGCTCTCTGCGCCCACACCGTAAACAGACTGCACCCACTCTGTGCACCCACTACACCGCGAAGAGGCTCAACAGTTGCTTTGTTTCCACGGAAGCAATGCCGATCCCCACCGGATAAGGCCCCCCCCCCTTTTCCCCCAACCGCCCCCACCTCTTATCAGCCCGGGCGACCCGCAGCAGCCGAAGTAGAGATTGCGACTCGGATGACGTTTTTCGATGCAGTGTTTTTGTCTCCTTTTATGCGCCGCGGTTCGGGCAACAACAGACTGACTGGGACCACAAACTGAAACTTTTCAATTGGACTTGATGAGGACGGTTTCCAGGCCGATTTCTGATGGGTTCGTGTTCGCGGAGGTGCCCTCCCCGCCCCTCCCCGCCCCTCGGCCACCGCCACTCCGACAACTTGTCCGCGCTGCGCCGTCCTCGTTTCGGAACATTTGTGAGTGTTCGGTTGGTGACCTTGAAAACTTTACGACAATAACGGGCCAATATAACAATGGGAAATAAAAGTTTCCATGGACTGTGATGATCCCCTCATGGAACCCACGACAGGCGCGGGGCGAAAAGGACCTTGAGGAGAAGCCATACGCACTCCATCGGTCGGAAACAAAGACAACAATGACTGCAGCCCCGGCCCGGGCTCAAACATTATTGCCAGTTTCTGTAATAGGGTGGAAAAAAGCTGATGTAGAATGCAGATGCATTAATATGGAGCGAGAGAAGAGAATGATGTGTGGTGGTGAGCGTGAGAAAGAAAAGGAAAGAGTCATAGAAAATAAATAAATAAATATGAGAGCAAATCGATTTAATAGTTTCTTGAAGAGGCGTGCGAAAATAGGCGAAAGAAGAGCACGAAAGAAGGATGATCGGAGTCCGCCAGGCACCGCCCGCGCCGCCCCGCACACTAGAAGCCCTTCGACCGCGCCAAAGCCCTCCTGCACCAATTACTGGTGCAGTGGAATTACCGGCAGTAATGACGTCGGCGCGTAATCCACCCAAACTGGGCGGTGAGCGCGATCGGAAATGAATCATTCTCGCGGCTAACACACTATCGGACACGGCTAGTCATCGCGCGCAGGACCTCCGCGGCGATTGGGACCCCAGGCCATTACCGATGCAGCCCCCGCTTGTCGGGCACGAACCTCACACGAGTCCCTCGCGTGTCCGCCGCGTGTCCGCCGCGTGTCCACCGCGTGTCCCTCGCGTGTCCGCCGCGTGTCCGCCGCGTGTCCCTCGCGTGTCCGCCGCGTGTCCCTCGCGTGTCCGCCGCGTGTCCCTCGCGTGTCCGCCGCGTGTCCCTCGCGTGTCCCTCGCGTGTCCGCCGCGTGTCCCTCGCGTGTCCGCCGCGTGTCCCTCGCGCACCACTATCAGGTGTCCGCGTCGCGTCCCTCGCGTGACATTGGCGAGTCTCTCACGCCCTCGTCACGCTGGTTCCGCACGCGTGGTGCGGCCTCGCGGGCCTCGCACGCCCGCCGCGTGCCGTGCCGCTCCCCGTGCCGACGCCCCCGCTTGCGGCGCTGGCGGTGCTGGCAACTGTTGCGCGAGGCGCGGTCGGCGCGGTCGGCGCGGACGGCGGCCCGGCGTCGTGCCACCGATACTCACTGGAAGGACACGGCCGCAGCGTCCCTGTAGAAGCACATGACCGCGCTGCTCCGCTGCGCCGCGCTGCGCTGGCCTGGCCGCTGGCTGGCCTGGCTGGCCTGGCTGGCGCCCTGCTCGGCGCGCTCTGGGAGCGAGGGGCCAGGCAGCGCGCGGGGCGGGGCGGCCAGAGGCAGCGAGGCGGGGGCGGGGCGGCCCGGGGCGGGGCGGCCTGGGGCCTGCTGGCCTGGCTGCCTCTGCTGGCTCAAACAACCACCTGCTACCAGCGCGCTGGCATGACTGAGGACGAGACGGGGCCCAGAACGCGTACTGGCGCCCCCACCAGCCGCGCAGCACCGCGCAGCCGAGCCAGCGAGCCACCCTCCAGCGCCACGGGGGTGGGGACCGGGACCGGGACGGACCGGGACGGGCGCAGCAGCAGCGCCGAGCAGCGCAGCCACCGGATGGGCCGGGGCGGCGGGGGCGGCAGGGGGTGTCAGCACCAAGTAAAACAAGTGGCCGCCGAGGCAACTTTCGCCCTGTGTGTTTTAGCAGTCGTCATCCCCATTGCTGGCCACTAACTTCTAGGGTCTCAAATTGCTGCCATCTGAAACGACCGTCGTCACGCAAAGAGTCCGAAATCACGGTGTAGGGAGAGACTGCGGGGACACTAGGCGGTGGAAGCCGGTTTCGGAACGTTTCTTAGTTTCAAACTAAAACGCTCCGATAGGAGCGCTGTTCCCCGTGTGGGCTGAGGTATGGTGGGGGAAGAGGGCTGGCCCACTATTGGCTGTCCGCTGGCGGCGAGACGAGGTAGCT